TGTCTCTTTAGCTAAAGCCTAAAGGGCAAAGAGCAAACAATTGTCATCTATTTCTCTCTTGGAATCAGTTTTCCTGTGCTCATTGTTTTTTAACCTTTTAACTGAAGCCTGTACAAACTGCCAAGAAGCATTCAAATCATGGTTTGTCCTGATTCTGTTTCTAGGTTTGTGCTCGTGGGCTTCACAAAAGTCAACTCACTTACTTACGATTGTTCAAGATTTTGAATTAACCACTGATTTCTAGAAAACCACCCTTGGTTGACTGTCTCCAATATATATTTTGTTACATATTAATAAATTTTAAAATTACCCTTAATCTTTTTGAAATAATTCATATCTCAATTGCAAATGCTTTGAATTAAAGTTGTTGCTTATTGTCGTATTATGAATACCGTATTCGACATAATAAGCGCCCCGCTCTAATAAGAGCCCACGGCTATATTTGCTAATATATTGGCTAGTGCACGATCCCAGTTAGGACCCCTTCAGATTGAAAAATGTACACAAGACTTATTTATTTGTGTATAATGCGCACTCGTGTGTTATATGCACCCTCAATTATGGGCAATTAAATTCTTGAAAAATATATCTGTCGTATGTAAATATTTCAGGCTGTCAGCATAAACCACGAAATTTACGATTTTTCAACTCTGTTTTTTCCCCTGCCAAAATAACATTCTAATAAGAGCCCCCTATTTCTAATTTTGAGAGGACCCTGGGCGCTTATTATGTCGAATACAGTATGTGCATCAGAAACATTCAGCAAATGATGTGATTAGGCCCTGCAGTTAACATGGTTAAGCAGAGTTCCAGATCAGCTGCGTATCTGCGTAAAATACGTATCGGAAATGCAGAAATACGCAGTAAAATAAAATCCAAGCGTATCACATACGCAACGAACATTACAGATAATCTACAAAAATAAAACTTGTGGGTATCATCAAAATATTGTGAAGTAACCCTGCGTATTCAAATAGCAAATCAGCAACTTATTTTGAAATTATAAACGGGCATTCCGTCAACCTTGCCAAACTCCACAATGACAGTTACATCACGATCATTTGCAATCACACTTTCTTGTGGAAGTATCGTGGTATTTTTGAGTCCTATAAAGCTCTCGAACCCATACGACACCAGCTTGCAGGGACTAGATGAATAGTGTTTTTAAATATTTAACTTAAATACCCACATGTGTAGTGGGTAACAGAAATTTGAATACCCAGATAGAATTACTGATACCCAATGATTTTAAAATGCATGGGTAAAATACCCACAACACCAAAAGCTTATCTGGAGCTCTGTTAAGTGTCAGTGATCAAGTACCCACCCACTGTTATTGTCTACTTATGCTCCAGTGTCTCTTACCAGTTAGATTTTTAGGTTATTTTTTAGGATCATGCTGAGCACATCCAACATGTTTCTGAATGTTAAATATGTCTTTGAGACAACAGTTGTCAGCTGTAACATTTGTGTTGCAAATTAAACAACTTGTCAGTCTGGTTACCTGAAGCCCTGCTATTTCTGTATTCAACTTTACCTATGATCTTTTCACCAAAATCACATTTGTTTTTGAAAATACCTTGTGATGACGTTAATTGTAGGAAGCCCTAGAAGAATATATCTTTTAAGTTATCTGGACAAACACAAGTAATATGTATGAGCATATGCTTTTAATATCAAACAGATTTATCAAAGTAAAATTACAGAAATATGTTTTCATGACTTGGCAAACTATTTTATATGTAAACATATATATACCAAACCACTAAGCTTATGGTTATTTTAATTTTAAATATGATAAGTAAAAACTGCATCGAAAATAACAAGATGTTAAAATATGTTATTCTTGGTAAAATGATTTCAAACACGATGTCTTCCCATCATTGCATTTAAAATTCCTTTAAGTTCTGATATTGGTATTTTTTAACTGAATCACAAGGAGATGGGGGAGAAAATGTAAAAATAGCCGATGGCTTTTTCCGCCTTATTTTATTACACGCATTAATCATGATAATCTTAATCTCTGCACATACAACAATCAATGTTTGTACAGACCTCTTGAATATTAGTGTCAACCTTAAAAAGCCTTGAAATTAAATGAAATAGCTTGAAAAGTCTTGAATTTGTGCCATATACATGTACTTATAAATAAAAAACCCGTGAAGATCTGGGGTATAATTTGTCTTCAGCAACCCATGCTTGCCATAACAGGCGACTATGCTTGTCGTAAGAAGCGACTGACTGGATCGCGTGGTCTGGCTTGCTGACTTTGTTGATGCTTGTCATCGTATCCCAGTTGCGTGGATTGATGCTCATAGTGTCAATCACTGGAAACTTGAATATTTATATTTATCGTTATATAGCAGGAATATTGCCGTGTTAAACAACAAACAAATAAACAAACAAACTATAAAAAGACACTTTATGTGTGATTTTTCACAATGATAGATTTGTGGGCCAATGACCATGAAGAATTCATGACAGACATAATTTATTTTATTTGTTGGTTGTGAAAATAAATCTTGTTGAAAACTTTTTGATGTTCATTCTGAATTTTAGGTCTTACGACAAATATATAGTATGTTGGATTTAAAACTATATTGACCGACTAAGGTAATAACTAAAAAGCCTTGAAACTGCCACTTGAGAGCCTTGAAAAGCTTTGAAAAGGCTTGTAATGTTAGTGTTCAATATCTGTATGAACCTTTACAATGCCTAGCAAACAGTAAATACAACTAAAATTGTAAGTAATCATGTTTAGTGATTAAGAGTGTGTGGTATTACCTATATATCGGTAAATTGAGGTTCATTCTTTCCATGATACGTACCACAATGTCATGTTTTAATGCTCGGTATATCGGGTGTTTTCAAATAGCAATTTTTATTATGTGTTTAATGTTATACACTTGACAAATACATGTACCTTTGAAATGTTTCCGTAATTCCAAGATGCAAGTTCGCATTCTGGAGCTCTTCTGTGGCAGTGGTGTAACACCAAGTCATCACTGTCCCGGAGCGTGCATCCTTGCGTATTTATTGAATGAGTACACATTATGCTGTTCCAGCATCTTGTTTTGTTCCATTTATGAACAATTCCTGCATTGAGGTTTCAAATTGTTTCTGAATTTAAAATTTTGAATTATACAATATATTGTGATACATATTGCAATACTACCTTGTGCATTGTAAAATATTGTGATAAACTTGAAACATCCAATACCGATTGTGGGTTTCAAAAGTCAATAAACATCAGATTCTGCATTTTCTCACACACTGCTTTATTCTGTGATCCAAACAGTCAATGTTCAACGTATACCATACGAAGCAGGTTCAAGCTGAAACCATACAAAAACAACAAACTTACTTGCATATTCTCATGTCCGAAACACAGCTAGCTTGTCACAATACAAACTTACTCCGTAATAATCCAAAAAATACGGTAAATACGGTAATAACATGCACACGTCACAACACGGTGGTAACTCTGAAATAATTCTGGCTTTAAACGAACAACATATTAAATTACACCCCTTTCTTAAATAAATATATCATGCATGCATATGCAATGTATTACTTACAAATTTCGTGGCAGAATCATATCGTTGACAACAGCCGTACATCAGGTTATCACTCACAGCGATGCACACTTTCAAATTTCACGCCACCCCGCATGCTTTTTCTCTTATACCATCCACCTGCAGTTACCACCCCTGTCCAAGCCAAGCCATTCAACCGCATACCGCTAAATAAAGAACAGTGCCTTTCTGTCATCTACACCGATGATCCCAACTAATGATGTTTTATCTCTAATTCCACATTATCATTGACTTTTCGTTGTCTTACTACCAATCATAACCTGAGATGCTCAGTAAAGCAGTGCACATGTACTGGGAACTGACTGCATGCTATATTGGAGCATGGTTTTTTTAGTAAATAATTTGCCCTAATAATCATAATAGCTGACTTATTAAGTACAAGATTATAACAATCAGCCTGCATCATCAGCTTTGTATCATGATATGTATCATATCGGGACCTCACGATTGTGATACGTGTTGTATCACGACTTTGTCAAAGTTTGTATATTGTCACAGGTGAAGCAGCGTCATTTCCCAATTTGTCTGATATCCATCCTAGATTTATAGCGTAAAAAGCTGGAAATCAAGACAGAAATAATACTCCAACGTAGAATTCCATAATGGTGTGCGGCAATCCTCATAAATGACATCAATTGATGCCACATTAAACAAACACATATTTTGCATTAGTTTTTGAAACTAAAAAAATGACATTCATCATGTTCATGTACAAATGCGTTTGTTTTAAGTTTTGTGTGTATATAGGGGTGGGGAGACAGGTAGGGCTGGCTATCGATACAGATCAAAGAGATCGCTAATTGCAAACTTAATATTGATCAATTATTGATAAATATTGGAAAGTAACTTTGAGCAAATAAGCAAGAAAATCCCGAAAGAAATCAACATATTTCACGCCAATGCTGAGCCGTGACACATTTATGCATGGATTACTTTGTGGATGTTTGAGATATAACAAAAACAGATGCTTTTCGACTTCGACAATTGACGTGATTGACAATAACAATTCTGTTTCCATAAATCTAAACATTTCTCAACACAATAGTTGGTGTAAATTATTATCGATGACAACAATTTCATATCGATAATTGTTCATATTTCTTCCCATCGATGATAATTCCAATTGTCAACGTTTTTTGCCAGTCCTAGAGGCAAGCCCCCTGTTATACCAGCAAGGCGGCTAAAAATGGTGGCGAAACAATTTAGAAGCTGTTGCAATATAAGGAAGGAGGTCTTGCACATTACTTACTGAATGGTCTCCAGTATTCTGTATTATAACCCCTAACAACGTTTGAGGAAATGGGTAAAATGTTTACAAATGACATTGAAGGTCTTAAGCTTTTTAGAATTCTAGCTAAAATCTTTTACTTTGTAGAGAAACATAACATTTAATTATCTTTTCAGAAGATCGTGTAAACTTCACTTTGAAGTGTCACCGCTGAAGATTGTTCGAGCATCCCGACAGTATCTGTATGATGATGCTGGGAATGAGTTCCTGGACTGCATCAACAACGTCTCACACGGTAACTACTAGAACTAGAGCTTCTTCATACCAGGATCTGCTGGTGTGGGTTTGAATCCCAGGTTTTCCCTTCTTTAGATTGGTCAGAACCATTCCTGTTGTGATGCAGGTCGAGGATGTAAAAGCACTGTGGGTTTCACCAAGGTGGCACAAGCACTGGGTTTCATCAAGGTGGTACAAGCACTGGGTTTCATGAAGGTGGTACAAGCACCTTGGGTTTCATCAAGGTGGTACAAGCACCGTGGGTTTCATCAAGGTGGTACAAGCACCGTGGGTTTCATCAAGGTGGTACAAGCACTGGGTTTCATCAAGGTGGTACAAGCACCGTGGGTTTCTTCAAGGTGGTACAAGCACTGTGGGTTTCATCTAGGTGGTACAAGCACTGTGGGTTTCATCTAGGTGGTACAAGCACTGTGGGTTTCATCAAGGTGGTACAAGCACTGGGTTTCATCAAGGTGGTACAAGCACTGGGTTTCATCTGGGTGGTACAAGCACTGGGTTTCATCAAGGTGTTACAAGCACTGTGGGTTTCATCAAGGTGGTACAAGCAATACGGGTTTCATCAAGGTGGTACAAGCAATGTGGGTTTCATCAAGGTGGTACAACCACTGGATTTCATCAAAGTGGTACAATCGTGGGTTTCATCAAGGTGTTACAAACGCTGTGGGTTTTATCAAAGTGGTACAAGCACTGGGTTTCATCAAGGTGGTACAAGCACTAGGTGTCATCAAGGTGGTACAAGCACTGTGGGTTTCATCAAGGTGGTAAAAGCACTGGGTTTTTTCAAGGTGGTACAAGAACTGTGGGTTATTTAAGAATTGACCTTCACTTTGTGTGAGTTCATTGGAGTATGAACCTGCACAGAGTGAGGGCCAAACTGTATGAACGTCGGAGCTTGTGACGACGTTCATACAATGTTTGGCCCTCACTCTATGAAGGTTCATACTCCAATGAACTCACACAAAGTGAAAGTCAATTCTTATAATTTTTAATCACAATTTCTTTCCTCAAAGGACGTAGGCCAAGATCTAAACACAATTTTATTTAGTACGTGTGACTTCATGTTTACACTGACAGCCAAACAACAACCAGCTATATCGCGGAATAAAATAGATCCCCCAAAAGAGAGGTGACATGAGCGTATGGATATAGAACTTGCTCTTCAGAAACATCTTACGCAACACATGTGTTCATATAATATCCCCATTAGATGAGAAAGGTCTGTAATGAACTACCTCAGTAAGTCAGTCACAATGACAGCGCGTCGTAATACATAAATTACATCAAGTACAAGACGTCAAAATGGCCGACACGATAAACGTAACGGGAGGATTTCCGAAGTTGTTAATGAACCTGTGGCGGTTACATGTGTTAGTCATAATTGATCAACTGACCGATTATTGAAAGGTGATTAAAGATGCGTCAAACAGACACCAAGGTAAATTCGTAGATTGCTGGAGACGGTCACTGTCAGCCTAGACACAGATCGAGTCGATACTGACGATAGTTTGGATGTGCATTTTTTCGTTTGTTCATTAGGATGGGCCGTAGCGAGGAAATTCGTGAACAATCATGCAGTCAAGCTCTCTTACGTTTCTCAATGTACACTGAAATGCTGAGACCAAGATAAAAGGTTCTAAATGATCAGAAATAATGCTAAATAAAATGTATGTTTTCGTGGTAGGGAATTCCCAGGGGTTTCCTCAGGAATGTGGAAGTAGTCCGTCAGTGTTTACGTCATTTCAAGAACACGGTCTCGTGAAAAACGTATGAACGTCAAATTGTGTCCTTCATACACTTATGAACGTCAACTTCGCGGTCATGTGACCGACCTCTCGTCCAATGGAAAAGCCGTATATCGTGTAAACTTCAAATTAAAAAATTATATACTTTTGGCACTCATGTGCAGTACTGGAGGTGCAGTTGGCCTTGAACACACTTATATATGTAAAACCAGACCACACAGACGTAAGTATACTACATATACAACAAGACATTGGCATGGTATTTCCAGAAGAATGTTTTCTGTCTTGACTGAAAACTATACGTAGGGAAGAAGATTCTTTGATGGTGAGAGGTAGATTGTTCCAAAGAGAAGCTGATGTGAAGGTCACACGTCTCTGGCCACTGTAGGTCTCAGGAGATGTCTCAAAATGTCTGAGTTACCCGTCCCAGTCCTAGCTGGCTGATATAGACATCCTTGATTATTCATACGATCACAGACTTACAAACAACAATATTGTGAACTCTCTTGGGCTAAAAAAAATAATGGTCTTGGTTCTCAGGCACCGCCTGCATCATCATAATTTTTTCCGCACGATTTGTTTTTATTTCCATTTTTGAAAAAGACAAAAACATTTGTTGAATATTCCAAGTCCAACTGTAGTCAAATACTATATTCCAGTATTTTACTCATCAAGGAATACATTTATGTAGGGAGCCCTTTCACAGGTTGATTGTACACAACTGTTTATTTGGTTACATTCTAATTTGAACAACAACAAAAATTCCGAAAAAAGGACACTATATTTTCGAAAATCATTGCCTGTGAACCAATTCTTATGTTTTTTTAATCCTTGTAGAAGTTGTTTACACGAATGGGATGGAAATAGAAATGTTTAGCTTGAGATTTGACCTGTTCCACATGGACATTAGGTTTGGACAGTCCTTGTAGTCAAGTATTTGGAGTGCTCATGGCATGGATGATATCGTGAGTGTGTGGTGAGAGTAAGTTCCCGGTTCCTGAAGGGCACAATTAGAAATACCTTGTGACATTGTTTGTTATTTGAAGCCAGTGATAAACATACTTTGGAACAACTATGCTGGGAAATGTGAACCATGTGAATACTTAATGTACAGTATCATTCACAACATATATTTTGAAACGGCAGGAGGCATAATTTCTAAATTACAACTGATCATTGTCATTGACTATTTTATCTTATGATGACATTCACCGAGTTTGAAGATGGATCAAAAGTATTCTTCTTGTTGGCATTCCTGAAGGGACAGGACCCACCTTATTCCATTCCTGCTCCCGTGACCGCGCCGCGAGTGTAGGTGTATCACGTGGAAATAGTTTTCACGTCTTAGGATATTTTCTCAAAGAAGGTTAAACATCTCATGACGTTATGTTTATCTAAATGTGTAGAATCGTCCAAAATGAAACGCAGGAAAAATACATGAATGGACTGTGAAAGATGTGACGATGTGATACAGGTACTTGGCTGGCCGCCAGGAACTCTGGGAAGGAGAGTCATTGGTTTCATACAACCGAGGCATATCTATTTTGTCATCAAGGCTTTGATAAACACTGGTTTCTAATCTAATCCAACTGGCATTTAGTTTTTCAGACGTAAGAAAAACACACACGCTTTCTCTTCAATTTGCCTCTATTAGAAAACAAAACTGAAGCTTACATCGCAATGCTGTACGGAGCTCTATTTTTTGGCTTGAGAATTGAATCAGGCATATGATGTCATACTTGGAAATTATTTCACGCATAATTTAAAAAACACACAGAAGTTCTGTGACAGAACCATCGACATATAGTCTGGAAGGTAATTTAAGGTACCAACGTTTACTACAATATCTGAAATAACTGGATATTTCATTTACAGGAATCACGCACGCACGAAAACAGTGTTAGTGTTTGGCGTCTCCACGTGTGTGATTCCCGTGCACCCTTTCGAGTTGAGTTGATTGGTTGAACTGTGTCATATGGCCCTGTGATGTAGTATTATGCAGATGGCTGTTTCAATGAATGCTCGTTCCACCCGTGACGAACAGGTCTGGTTGTTGATGAAATATAGTGATAGCTAAATAGACAGATTTTTTATTCATGCACCGATTGTCTTTAAATGTTATATCCAGTTATGTATGACTTTTTGATAATCTCATACCAACTTTTGACTGGAGTAGGTCCGGTAGTTTTTCAGAAATTGTAGTAAACGTCGGTACCTTAAATTACCTTCCAGACTTATAGTGTCCCTTTAAATAGCAATGGTTCACCCGGACAACTTTATGAGGCCCTGTAGCACACTTGAACACTCCCTGAACTTGTACTCTATGTCGCCTATTCTGTTTCTCCAAGGACACACTGGCAGGTGTTTTTCTAACTTATGTATTCAAACGGATTCTCTCCAAACATGTGAGTTTTTTTATGTCTGTGAATTTATTATTCACAGAGAAACCGGTTTTGCAGCATTGCCGAGTTTCAGTTGGCCATCGACTACTGATCATAGACTGATAAAATTCCAATTTGACAGATGCTTTAAGTAGTCGGACCTTTGACTGATAGAAATTCTAAGCAGGCATCACATGTTTCATAATTATACAGTAAATAGTAAGAGTAAGGTCCTACTTGCATTATCAATTTAATCAAACAATGCACAGGTGTCAAAATTTGTTATTGAAATTCATCATACTCTCTGGATCATAGTGAAATGCTGTCAGAATCTGTAGTGACTTAGTCAAGCACTTTTCTTATTGCAATGGTTTTTTGCCAGATGGTATATATTCATCCAAAAATGAAAGGTAAAAGGTTCGTCCACCTTTTTTGCTGATTTGACTTATTGACTTTTGCCATTGACTTATTACATTCCTGGATCCAAGTCATTGACCCATAAAACAGCTTTTTGTTTCAAAATCACTGCATTGTTATAAACTTAACATTCTCAGAACTGTTTTCTTCCAACAAAAAGGATAATATCTGGCCATCGTGGTATATATTTTTCTGTTTTTCCATGGTTACATTTATATTGGATTCAATAAAATTTCTCTTAAATTGCTGTCGGTATAAACATGGAACGCTGTTGAGATGATAAGGCTGCATGATATTTGGTTTAACTCTTTTGATGTCCCTGCAACCTCCTCCATGTGGGAAATGTCACGTTGATTCTTACTGTGATGTTAGTAAGGGTCTGTAATGTCCCTGGTAAATGTCTACTTGTGTCTACAAACACCATATTGTCACCTTTATTTTGTCTTGACTATTAAATC